CTGTGTACGGCTGGAAAGGATTATGTTTGCATGTGTGTATGATTGTGTTTATGGCAGGGTAGACTCATGTTCATCCGCTGAAGTAGGAAGACCAATGATCACAATGACAGGGCCATCCTTGTTGGATAAGCTGCATACAGGAGTTGCACATTTAAACATAGAAAATCGATGTATTTACTGCCTTGGTCAGGTTGGTGCTTTATGACATTTTAATTCAGCACTATTGTGTGTTTTCTGTTGCAGCTTGTTTACAAGCTTAAAAGAATAAAGGCTAGTGGAAAGAAAAACTAAGGAGTAAAGTAATAAAACCAATAAAATGTGGGAAAAAATATCCAAAGTGATTAAAAAGCTCTGACTTTCTTCTCTGCTAATGGAATTGTCATCAGAAATTAAATGCTTTCATGAGCCTCCTCTAACCACAATTTTGACTGCCTACACTTCTTTTCTTTTTTGGACGGCTTCCCTTACCACTAATTGGCCTAATACCTAGTCAAGCTATCATTACCGAGCTCTGTAATAAATACTCTTTATAAAATTAAGCCACAAAGGGGAAAAGTCATCTTCCTAACAATTCCTCTGTATGCTTAATGATATATAGGCAGAGCTGCATAGAATATAGTTTCCCACAAGAATTGATGGAGTGAATTAGAACTTGATGCCTGGGAGAAATACACGAAGAAAGCTACAGTGCTGTTCTTAAATTATTTGCAGGATCTGAAATTTATATTGAAAAAAGTACACTAATTGGGTAAAATGGTAAAAATCTAATTTAAGACTCTGAACAGAAATCTAGCCTGGGATTTCAAATGTGTATGAAAGAAAAAAAATGTGCCAGAACACGGGTGTTGATGTTTGAATTGAATGTTTTGGTGAAAATGGATTTAAAAAGGATTGAAGGATTACTATATATTTCTCGATGTGGCATTTGAGGATACAGATTCCCAATCTGAGGCTACTTATTTAAATTAGTGCCATGTGTACAAACACCTTATTATTTACACCTGTTTATTATCTAATTAGAAACCTATTATTGCATCTTTGTATCTAGAAATTATGCCATGCTGAAACTGAAATTGATCAGGGAAGGAAAGTAAGAAGCCAGATGGGTCCATCTGAGTGTTTTAGTCACTCCTTATTTAGCAGGATTTCCATAAAAATGGAACCTCCATTTTCCAATGGTTCAACATTATAAGACAAAAAGAGATAATTAAAAAAAACACTTGCTTATCCAATGAGTCTGGAGTTTAGCTTTGACGTTGAGATGTTAGGGGAAGAAATTATGTAAAACAACTAAAATAAGTTGTGAACATTTAACTGTGCAGTCGACAACTCTGAAATAGCTGCATAAGGTGAGGGGATGGCATGTGGACTTCTCCACAGGATGGAGCTCTGTGTCCAGCTCATCATCTGCTCTGTGCAACTTGATTAATAGCTTTAAATACAAGCACACATGTCGCACATTACCCTCAATGTGTTATCTACATTAGAACCAATGTTCTTTTTTTCCTAGACTCCTAATGGTAAATGAATCTCACATTACACTTGTTCCAACATTTCCGAATATAGTTGGTGAAAGCTTCCCGGATCAGGAGCATTATATTGGTGGATCAACTTTAACCCCCCCAATCTGGGTTGGGACCTTGCAGTTAAAGGATAAATTATGTTTAGATCACAGAATGCAAAGAACAATCTGAAAAGACTTAGCCAACAATGAAACTTAGAGCTAGGAGTAGTTATAATCGTTTAGCAGCAGTAGCTACTAGCTTTAACTAGTTGTTGATTTTATGTCAATGTTAGATGAAAATCCATCCATTTTCTTTCACGCTTATCCCAAGTGGGGTTGCAAAGGGTGCTGGTACTTATCTCCAGCTGTCTACTGGAGAGAGACGGGTACACCCTGGACAGGTTGCCAGCCCATTGCATGGCAACACAGAGACAAACAGGACAAGCAACCATTCACTCATACACTCACACCTAAGGAGGGTTTAGATAAGCCAATTCAGAGTACCCAGAGAGAACCCACACATGCTCAGGGAGAACATGCAAATTCCACGCAGAAAGACCCTGGGCTGGGAATAGAACCCAGAACCGCTTCTTGCTGCAAGGCAACAGTGCTACTCACTGATCCACTCAGCAGCCCAATAATTGAAATCACATGCAGTATTTGAGTTTGATCAGGCACTCAAACAAATGTTTAGAAATAATTGTGTGTATATATATATATATATATATATATATATATATATATATATATATATATATATATATATATATATATATATATATATATATATATATATATATATATATATATATATATACACACAATTATTTTTAAATATTTGTTTGAGTGCCCTTTTTTAACTATAAACTTTAACTTTTAATCTGTGCTCTTCTATATTTAATCTGATTTTCAGCATTTGCAGTTTACTGCAAAACATTTCAGGAAACTTTTCTCAGTCATTATATTCTCTGTTGCTTGGTTGTGTGTGTGTGTAGGGTCGGGGCTGGGGGGATTATTTACTGTCCCAACAAAGCTTGCTTTTTATTTTATTTTTTCATGCGGTTAAGATAATAAAACCAGGTTCCTAAAGTACAGTGTAACACATTGTGAAATTACTGACGCGGCAAGCAAAGATGATTTTAGGGCTTTCTCAGTCTTTTTTAGTGGGGATTGTTTACATTTTTGTGGTCAGCAAGCTTTTCCTGTGTATTTTTTGTGATTAAAAAAGTAAATTGTCACCCCATTGCTATGCACCATTTCATTCTGGATTTATTCTGCTGTAATTAAACCCAAGCAAATGAAAAACAGATACAAGGCCACAGCTAATGAAGAAAGCGAGGTTCTAAAGAAGGCTGTGATTTGATTTAGTCCGATTGTAAAGTAAAAACAGGATTCAAAACAAACCAAGTACTATACTAGGAACTGTGCAGTACACCCGCAGTGACACACACAAACTTGTTAAAGGCACAGCTAAAAACAGACAGGTTATTTATTGCAGATTATACAATCGTTAGAAGATTAATACCCTAGGGGGGGCTAAAAAGGCTCAGGCTGACTTTCATCTCAGACCTGCCCCAACAAAGAAAGCTGAGGTTAGAGAGACAGGGTTGAAAGAGGTAAGCAGACTGTCAGAAGACACAGAGTCTTCAAACACAGTTAAGTGTTATGTGTGTGTTTGTGTGTGCACAGGTTTCTGCGTTCATCACTATAACCCCATAATGAGTAGCCTTGAGGGGGTCCATAGCCATTTGGCTGCTCTTCATTTCCTGATTTGGAGAAAAGAAAAGCATTATCAAGCCTTTTATCTCCTCAACAGTGACACAAAAATACATACACAGGCACGCACCAACAGAGTGCAGACCGGTTGTGGTCTTACCACAAGGTTTTACACAATTAGGCCTATTTTACTCTCAAATGTGAATGCTGTTTGCGTTTACATTTAATTGATCTTTGTGTTGAGATGTGTGCATGTGTGAGTGTGTCTTTGCTGCAATTAAGCAAGATCAAACCACTAGAGTTGGAGAATTAGCCATCAGTGAAGCTCTGAAGTTTCCGACATGGAAGAGTGAAATCCGAGGGCTGGAGCCAGACAGACAGATTTTGACCTCAGATTGGAAATAATTGCAGCTTCCTCCTTTTTGTGTCTTAAACACACACACAAGCACATGTGTGCGTTACAACCTCACATGGATTTAGAGTTCGGCCATTGATGTGAACTAATTTGACCTAGGTATAAAACTAAGAAACATTTAATAGTTCTGGACATGCATTTGTAGATCCAGATTTGACCAAAAAACAGAACTTCCTCTGATTATTTTGAAAATATTGGATAATCATTTTGTTTATTTTTCAAGGTCTTACTTTTTACAGACGTACAACTTTCACAAAGCAGTAGAGTTTTACACTTAAACAGCTATCAGGGAATAACATCACATGAATTTAATGAGAGACGTGAAAGAGGCAACAATCATCATCCGACATCTAAAGTAGAAACATTGCACATTTTTCAAATATTATATGTAGCAGCACAGCACAACCATTGTGTCAACAGATCGTTATTTGCTTTACGTAGTTACTTCCTATCATTTAGAAACAGCAGGAAACCAGAGATTGTTTAAGAAAATCAAACTAACTTAACTCGGGTTTAACCCTGCTTCGCCTTGTACAGTATGTCATAACCACCAGGGGGCAACACAAATTGCATAAAAATTGTTTTACATATCTGCTACAAGTCAGTGATGAATTGTTCCATTTGATTCCTTATTTTCCTTTTTCAGACTTGAACTACTTCCATAAATTACTGAATAATATTTACTGTGATATATTAAAAATAAAGCTTCATGATGGTCATTTCTTCTGTAAACTGATGATAAATCAGCTATATTTGTATTAGTACCATAATAACTCATCCATAGTGAAAGCAGGTGAGTAATAAAGATTCCTGAAAGTTTGCATTCATCTTTTTGATTTATTTAAGCTTATGACAGCTGCATTTTCACCTTTCCCCCCCCTAATTCTACCTGCTGATGTGCAGGAAACAGAATTAGTTGTTAAAACATGTATATGCATGACTGAGCATAGGATACAAGAAATATATCTTCTTTTTTTTTGATAAAGAAAACTAAAATATACATTTTTGACAGAAAAAAAAACAAGATTATCCACATAACATAATGTTGACTTGGCAGGAGTTTTTGAACACTGTTGATATTTGTTCACATTTATGACTTGGGAAAATGCCACGGGCGGCTCTACTGCTATTACTTGTTTATTGGCAGTGACGTGGTGCTAGTCGGCTGCTCAGTGCATTTGGCCACACACATGCACAACACTCCCACTGACAGCATTACTGTTGGCTGGAATGTTTCAATTCATGACTTCACTGATTGATAATAGTAGTTAAAGCCCAGGAAGCTGCAGGCGCCAAAAGTTCATTAGAAGTGAGTGAAAAGAATGAACATTTGCTGTCATTTCAAACATTACTCTTGTCTTTTAGGGAGAAAACGCAAACCCAAAAATGTCACAGAGCGGAGGTCAGACGAAGTTCATCTTCCTGTCCTTGATTTTGGTAAGTTGTTTCCGCACCTCTTCTCTTGCATTTTAAAACCTGTCTGTGGGATGACGGTGGCTTAGAAGGTACAGTCCGTTCTGTAACCAGTGGGTGACCAGGTCAAGCCTCCACCCTATCCATCTCACCCTGCTGTTGGTTGTCAGATAAACAGCTGGTGCTAACTGTATTAGTGAATGCAGCATGAAACGCTTTGGGGTCTTTGAACTTGATGCAGTTACCTTGGAAGTAACCATTTCTCCTGCTTAGCTAAATGTGATCCTTATACCCGGCTGTGCACCTGCATCTTACATTTTTCACTTTGGTCCTCAGAAACATGTCTGATCATACCCACAGTTGATGCCACAGTTGGCACTGCATCTTCCAGACTTTGTGGAGTTTTGTCCCTACGGCAGTCACAATATGCTGTAGTAATAACTACATCTTGGAGTTTTGTCAAAAGCTTCTGTCTCTGAAACCTGCGATGCTCGGCTTGTTTAGATGTTGAAACCTATTGGCCACGCCCTTCCATTCATGCTCCCTTTTTTGATCCTCTCTCATTTTGCAGACAGAACCAAGTCAGTTTTTTTTTTTTTTGCCACAATACAAGTTTCTTACATGCAGCAATGTAGTCACTGTTTCTAAAGGGATACATTTCTAAATGTAAAAATTCAAACGTAACATCACAATTTTCAAATGCTTTTGTTAGGTCTTCATTGCCTTCAGAAACATAAAAAATAAAAGCATAAAAAGTGTTCCACAATTGAGATAAATGTATATTTTATAATTGGGTCTTACTGCACAACTGAAAGACTTTCAAAAAATATTCCTTTTTATTGTAGTGTTTTTTTCCTTAGATCAAAACCCAGAATTAGAAAAAAATGTATTTTACCAAAAATCACCTCTCATCGCTTATCAGTGTTGTTAAATATTCCTGCACAATAAATAATACTGAAACCTATAGTGAAAAAAGATATATATATATTTGATATGTTGGGTTGACCACAGTGTATATAACCTTGTTATGAGTTTTTACTAACTAAAAAAAAAAGGTTACATGATACAAAGGACAACATCTCTCGGTGAAGATGCCATTCAAAGGAGGGATATTTATGTTCATCCTTGTGGCAGATTATGGCTACTAGAATATAGTTACTAACTTCAACTTGCCCAGATTTAAAATAAAAAAGTTTGAATATGCCAGCCAATGCTTGAAAGGACTCATGTTTACTTCGTCAAATAGGTGATGAAACAAGAGTAGAAAATAAAAAAAATTCACTGCTCACTGTGGTACCTCAGAGTCACTGTCTCCTTGAGAAATAGGAGACGTTGTCTATATTCTCGTCAGTTGTTTGGGAGGCATGTAAGGAAAAAACATTTCTGTTTTACGGTCACAAACACTAATGTGGAGTTTTCCAACTATGACTGGTAAATTAAAGCCTGTGTAAAGAGAATCCCCAATTTTGTTCTAAACCCAAGATAAATGTTGTAAATTTAAAAAACATTTTATAATGGCACTGTGGCACTAGAATAAAATTTGGGTTTCAACAATCCTGAGGGCGACAGTGGCGTTGGATGTAGGAGTTTGCCCTGAAATCGAAGGATTGACGGTTCAAGCCCCGGCTCAGACTTTCAGTGTCGTTGTGTCCTTGGGCAAAGACAATGTACCTTGCCACCATCAGTGTGTGTGCGTGAATGTAGTCTAAAGCGCTTTGGTCAAGTCTCCTGACTTGAAAAAATGTGCTATATAAGTACATGCCATTTACCATTTCAACAATCCCGTGTTTCAGGATTTTTTGGGTGCAGTTTAATTTCGTCATGCTGCTGCTTTCAGCATAAGCCCACCCCCTCTGCTGGTCCAGCAGTATAAAATCTAAGCGAGGTTGCCTCTGCGTTATTGCTAATTCAGGGCCTTTTCCGACTCCTTCAGCCAGTTTTAAAAAAAAAATTTCAAAAAAGTGACTAGCGGAAAGTCTAGTAGCTTTTTCTCGTCTTGTTGCTGACTGTGGTGCTTTAGGTGTTGTCAACAATCATTCATTCTTCAGCGAACAGTTATTGAGCCAGGCCATTCCTCCTCCAAAACACTGACAGGGACTCAGATGCAGCAGCTGCAGCCTGTAGCTGCAGTCAGAGAGCAGAGAGACTCTCCTCTATTTCCCCAATGAACATGAGTCACACATGGGCAAAGCTTCCACTGATGCCCTCAATGCAGAGAAAATTTATGCTTTTTCATAAATTTTCGAGACCTAATTTTATATGCAGAGTTTTAATTTTAATTGTTTTAACATTTAAACTGATGGATGACTAATAATACATATCTATGGTGTGATAAACTAAGAACCCATTTATTTTTACTTGACACGTCCTTTAACTAGAAATGCATCTTATGGCTTGATGAGACTAAGATTGGCTCTCAGCAACAACCACTTTAGACTTAGACAACTTTTGTTCTCATTTTGTATACACAGACTGTATAAAAAATTTAAATTTAGTTTAGTACAGCTTTCAGACAGTAAAAAACATTTCCATTCTACAAAGTGCAGCAGTGATCAAATGTAAACTGGGAGAAAAAAAAACATGGTGCAAAAAACGAATTGATATGGAAGTTCACATCATTAATTGATATATGTGGTACAAATATGCAGGTGCAGGCACAGCTATCATAGTCGACACTTTAGATAAAAAAAAAAATAAAATAAAAAAAAATAAAAATATGTGGAAGAAGAGCGTTATGGTTTAGGTAAGTCTGAGCCTCTGTGACGTTGTGGGCTTTTTCTCTCTGCTAAAGGCTTTGGGAAAATTTTTTATAATGCTCGACATTCATAATAACAATTTCAAAATACTACATCAGTTTTACTAAAAAAATCCAAAGGCCAAAATTATAGTTGGAGTTCTTACCGACTCTTTCATCAGAATAATAATTTAAATCCTACAGAAACTTTCCACAAGACACAAAATCAGCCTCATTTTTTTTTTACTGGCATCACAATATCCAGACTGTCTGTGGGTTAAGGAGAAAAACGTATGATGGCATACAGCTTTCCTGACTCCTTTGCTTTGTTCTCTGGTTAAGTAGTAGATGGCCACCACAGCTGTGTTAAGATCAAATTCAAATTTTAACTAATTTCAGAGCAAACAGTAAAGCCCACTTGCTCTTATGTAAATCATATCACTATTTTTTATTACATACCACCTAAATATAATGGTTTTATCGTGACGTTCATGAGTGACACAAGCCATTTTTATTTAAAAAAGAAAAAAAGAATCACTTCGGTGCATCGTTACAAAATAAATTATTTGTTGTTTAATTTAACAACATTTATTATTTCCCATATAATCTCTTTTACGCGTAGTATCTATTGCATTTTGGCTTTAATAAATTGTTGTAAAATCATTCAGTAGAAATCTGCAGCTTCACCACTAGATGCCACCAAAATCACTCTAACTCTGTTGTCATTCTTCATGAATCCGTATCACACCAACTTCATTCCAGATATGTATAGCATGGGTCAGTCTGTTTGGGTTTTTTATTTATAATATATCAGGTTATTTAGCAAGAGAAGAATGGAATCTTATACATAAATGAGCACTTGTTCAAACATGTCCTCAGCTCACTGACAGGATATGGTTGTGTGGAAAAGCAGAAAAAAACAGGAGGATGTTATTAAAACAACAGAGAAGAGATGGAGAGGCTTAGTCATACACTCATTTATTTTCCCTCTATCATTTTCTGGACTGCAGATGATTGTTAAAAGTCAGTTAGTTTGTTTGGAAATGGACACAGTATTCTGGAAAAGCTATAAATTCCAGCTGCTACTTATTACAATGAGCCACAATGACACAATCCCACACATAGCACACATATACACACTCAGTCACGTTTCCATTACAGCAGGGGACATTTCATTAACTTACATTTTCTGAAAATGTATCCCGACTCTAACCAATACCACAGCTTGCAGGAACCTATTGTTACCACAACCTTAACCCCAAACCACACCTTTTTTATCCAATCTTTACAAGAAAATTAAAGATCATTGTTTAAGGGGACTTTTTGTCTCCAAAAGTGAGGTACATTCCCATCATAAAACAGCATGAATACATCAATTTCCCCACAACAGGAGCAAAACATGCCAACAGACTCTGTTCACACAACTTAATGCTTTTATTGTGCAATTTTTGGTGTAGAACTCACAAAGCACATGGTGAACTTTAAATTAAAATAATATTACATTGCAATATTTTATATTTTTTACTTTCTTTGCTTATTAAAATGCCACATAAATGTTTTTTTTTTGTTTACACTCTGAGTCTTAGTCCTACTGAATATTCTACATTTCTATTAGTACAAAGGAAAAAAAAGTAGTTTATTCCTGTGATGCCTCCAGTATTATTTGAGCCCTCTGGTCGAATAATACTGGAGAAGACATGTGCTTTATTTTTTTGTTTTGTCGAACAGAGACAGTCATTTTAAATCCACCAGAAAATAAAGGGCTTGCAGTATCAGTTCAATTTATGGATCAAAACTTATGTGCCTTATCTTTTATTAATATTTATTAAACAAGAAACAAAAACAAAAAGAATAATGCATTAAAAACATTCTGATACTCGATGTATTTATAGAGTTTAAATGGTAGACTTCTTAGTTGTGTTGCATTTGAAATAATAAGAAAAAATTAAATATTTATTTTTTTATATATGTATAAACATCTTTCTTTTTATTTGTTTTTCAAAATATACATTTTTCTAATAAAAACAAAGAAACATTTTTTATATTTCTGTTGTATTTAGTTGACTTTTTTTCTTGCAGCACCAATTTATTAACAGGAACTGAAGCAATAGTAAAAAAACAAAAATACAACTAAACATTCAAGACTATATCCAGTTACATAGGATTATTAAATCAAACTTATTGTATTCATAATAATACTGTCCACTTATGTACCACAGGTAGATTCAAGCTCCTTTTATTGCAGTCCATTTCATCACAATTATGATACAAAAACGTCAAATTTAGTTGATAAAATAACACTAAGTGGTGTTATTTTATCAACAGTGGTGTTCTAAGTGGTTTGATCAAATTCTGTTAAATGCAGTCTTCCTGTTTAGTTTTTTTACCGATCCAAAGGTGTGTAGTAACTACTTATATTTACTCAGTTACATTAATTTGAGTACATTTTAGAGGTATACTTTTTAGAGTAGCTGCACTGTACCATACCTTTTACTTTACTTGAGTAATATCCTTATGAGAATATTGCTACTCATACTGAGTATGTTTTCTGCGTACTCTATGAGTAATCATAGTATCCACTATGAGTAACTTGATCTACTTGGAGATTAGGTGAAAATACAGTGAAAACAGTAGATATTGCATGAAGCTGGAGATTCTTTATCTTTATTTTCTTCCTGACATACTGCTAGGATTGGTTTAATAAGTTTATGCTGAAAAAAAGTTTTTTCTTTGCCTGAATTTATTATTTTGTAATCATATTATTTATTTCTAATGTTTGGGTTTATTTCATTACTTTGAAATATCAGAATTTGCAGAAATAATTATCTGATTACTTTATTTAGGTTTTTTATTATTATTTATTTTTTTTATAATACGTTATTACTTTATTTTAAATAAGTGGGTAAATAAGTACTTTTTTACTCTTACATGACTATTTTCTTGGAGGATTTTTTTCTAGTTTTACTTCAGTAATAAAAATGTCAAAGGAGTGCTACTCTAACCAATTTACCTCTTCATTCCCCCTTAGGTGACGCTTGTCTGTCTTTGATTTTGTTCTGGTATAATTGCATTAATAGGAATGTCCTAATTGTGTTTCCACAAGCTGTTTTTCAGCTTTACATTTGTCTCTGCTTACCGTGTTCTCCACCTGCCTGTCTCTGTGTCCCCTCAGGTGTCTCATCTGTTTGTTAGTGCCGAGTACTTCAACTGTGGAGAGTACGAGTTTTTCAACCAGACCAGCAACAGCTGCCAGGCCTGTCCTCAGTGCCAGCCAGGGCAAGAACCGCATATGGTGAGGGCATTCAAATATGATTTAGGGAATCATCCTCTGCACTGCTTTTACTGTGTTTTGTATAATCCTAAAGTATTTATATAGGCTGGGGGCAGGAAGCTGGGAAAATAACCAGATTTAGACTCATAAATACCAGAAAAATGGAAATTGTGATCCTAGCATGTGTCAGTTTCACTCAGACCACCCACAATAGACATACAGACAAGCATCCTCCCCCTCGGAGCTGCACAGTCAAGGGTGCCTTAATTCAAATGTACAATTTCTTCATGGTTTATTGCTTTCATTTACTCCGATGTGAAGGCATGCATTACTCTGAATGATTTGCAGTAGTCAAACAGTGATTTAGGGCTCGTCAGTCAGTCTGCAGACAGCCAAAGTAAACACAAAGTAGGTAAATGCTTCACTGGGCACCCCAGGCTGCCACACCCTCCTCAATCAGGCAACCAAGAGGAGTATAACTATTTGGGAACTTTTCATAATTTTATTATTTCAGTCTTTAATGTAGTTCCATTTTTTCACAATTAAATGCATGTGCAGATTTTGTAGCAATTCAAACTAAATGTAGAAATAATGATTTGATGTGGGTTGAACTTATCTGTAAGAATAAATAGACAATCATTTTTCAATTTATCATTAATGTTATAAACAAAGCCTCTCTACTGAATCTGAACTTGTTTTTTATTTTTATTTTTTTTATTTATCCTTTATTTAACCGATAATACCCATTGAGATTTAAAATCTCTTTTGCAAGGGAGGTCTGGCCAAGATAGGCATCAAAATTACATCACATCATTACATACGTACAACGACACAAACATAAAAGCCAAATATGCACTTACAATAAAACTTCTATTAAAACATTGACATGTGAGGGAGTCCAACTCAAAACATCTCATTCTCAGCTTAAAAGTATTCAAAGGAACCAATTTACTAAGTTTCAAGTTATTTTGCAGCAAATTCTAAATTCTCTAAATTCTAAATGAACCTTTTCAGTCTCAGAACTCAGAAATTCTGACTTTGATATTTTATAATTCATTAGTATTGCTGTCAGTTGGATACGATCATGGTCAAAATCATACTTTAGTGTCATATTCACACTTTCATGCACTGCTCCGTTTCATCAAAAATGATAAGGGACAGGATTTCCATATAATTTCACCTTGAAAAAAAAAAGAGGCACAATTCCCCCATGTTTTTTCTTTATTTCTTCTGCACGGCGGGGCAAGTCCACAGTGAGGCAACTATCAGAACAATTCTTTAAATATTTCATTTTCAAGGAGAAATCCAGAAAATCCTTCATTTTGTGGAGTGATTTCTTTTTTAGTTTGCATTGCAGATTATCAGGTTTCCACTAGGGCTGAAAAAATTAATCTGAAGAATCGTAATTAATAAATTATTGAATTAACCATCAACTAATTTAGAAATCTATTAATTGTTAACTGGAGTACAGAGGCTCTAAAACATGCATTTAGCTGAAAGAGAAACTCATTTAGGGGAGCAATTATACCAAAATTCTAAAATGAATTTGCATTTAAGATAAAACACTTTTTCTTCTGTCAATATTCTCCATCCAGAATTACTAAAGTGGAAAAGTTTTAGTTTCACCTGCTTTAATTTAATAAAAATTCTTCTTTAAAAAATATTCAGCTATCCGATTATAAATCGATTAGTTGAAAAAAATAATTGACAGATTAATCGATTTGCAAAATAATCTTTAGTTGCAGCCCTAGTTTCTACCTCAATAAAAGATTTTCTTTTGATTTTCTTTCAAACAAATTTTTGCTTTTTATCTATTGAAGGGACATTTTGTAATTTTTAACAGCAAAAACATCTTTACAATAATAATTACATATTAATGTTATGTCGTCAAAGCGGTCACTCATAGACTTGATCCTAATGCTGGACAAAAGAAAAAAAGTATGAAAAATTATGGAATTAATATATCTTCTCAAAGACATCCCATATCACACATAGAGACAAGTTTGACCTTAAATAATAAAGGGATGCCTAAATATTCCTAACAGAGTTTGACAAGTTTTTACTCTCCAAAGCCTTAAAATTAAAAGCATGAATGTAAAATGAGTTACTGAGCAAGAATCCTTTAAATAAACCTTTACCTGCCATATGTAGTTATGTTTATTGTCCCCTCTAAGTCTTTTAGGTTCTTTTATGTCCATGTCTCTTTTTATTCCTACTGAATAATCAAGTGCTGGCACAGATCTAAACACCATCAATTTTTATAACTATAGAATGTTCTGCAACCACACAATGACTGTTTCTTGGATTTGCACACCCCGCATGCTTTAAAATGAGATAGAAAATTGTTTCTCTTTGAACCTGAACTTCTCTTGTCTTTAATCATACAATCATATGTCAATCAAACCTTAAACCTTTCTCTGTTGCTTATCCTTGCTTACGTACTTAACGTTGGCTGCCCTCTATAAGTTCCAAGAAAACAATCCGCTTCTTTTTTTGAAGACATTAGTAAAAGAAGTATTTGAGCTGAGAAGCCTTTGATAAAAAGTAATGTAGCCATTTGTTGGCATTTCTTTTCTTTTAAAACAGCCAAATTATGACCCCCCCCCCCCCATTGCACTTTCCCCAGCTGCTCTGATCCTCTTTGTGCCACAGTCTGTAATTCACATGTTCTTTCATTTCCCTGAAGTTTCCCTGCATGTGGGTAAGAGTGTGTCTTGACATGCTTTTAATCAAGGGACAACCACTCTCACAGCAGAAACCTCACAGAGAACATGTTCCCACATACTCAGATACATCAGTGACAAGGCCGTTCAACCCTCCCTTGCCTGCATCACATTTTGATGTTGTTTCTTTGATGTCTTCTTCTCTTAAGATAATGACAAATGCCAGCTTATGAGTGGTAAAGCTCCTCAGCAAAACTGTAAATCTTCTTTTTGTTGAAGTTGTAACTGCAAATCTCATTGTATTTAATTGCCTACTTCAACGACAAATGGGGAGCAAGATAGATTGATTTTAGACTATTTTACCCCAATAAAATAGATTAAGCCCTATTCTAACAATTATGAATCAGCAGTGAAACAGATCAGTCATTTAAGATAAATATTCACTACGTCAGAACTTATTCTGCAAATATCTTTCCATTCCACCTCAAGCAAATGTTTTCTTTTTTTTTTGTTGCAAAATTTAGTCGCTGTATTTTAATTTTGCTGTTTCAATCAAGCTGTTCTAATCTGACTCTTCAAAATGCACATACAGTAACATTGATAGAAAAACATTATTGTTCTAAAAATCAGCAGAAAGATGAACCTTCGTCTCAGTCTCAAGTCTTTTATCAGTTTCTAAACTATTCCTAATAAAAATGTTTACCCACAGTATAATACTTCTGCCACCGTGTTTTACCATTAGGATGGTATGTTCAAGCTGATCTCTATACTTTATCACAGTCCAGTATGATCAATGCATATTTTTTTATTGATTTTGTAAAATATTATAATTGCATAACCTTCCATTTCCTAATTGTGTTCTTCCTCTGGGGTGGTCAGATAAAATCTCAATAAATACTTTAAAGTTAAAGGAATAGTACACCCAAAACATGATTAGCCTTCATTTTCTACTCACCCCATGCTGAACAACACTCTGGAGTACTTTTTTGATATCTCAAATGCATCTGGAGATCTGGGAGGCTTCTTGCTGTCTGCTGACATTCAAATAATGGAGGTCTATGGCGCCCGAGGCAGAAAGGTCCATAAAAGTCCACAAAAAACGTGTCAATATTCCTCCATACTGCTCGTCCAATGTATTCCAAGTGTCCTGAGTGGGTAGCGTCCATAATTTACTCGAAACGAAGTCATTTAGAATGTTTTTAGAGCATAAACAGTAGTGTATAGGATTTCCTGAAAGCGCGTTCACGACGCTACGGAAACCGCGGCAGACCAAACCAGATGAAAGTGCGCATTCAGCTCGGCAAAGAACTCATGCTCTTCCTCAACACTGAAGTCCTCAGACATTTTTCTTTCGTTGTTTCTTTCTTTGCACAGGTAAACAGCACATTTCTTCTTCTACGCTTGCATTATCGGCAGAGCAGACGCTGAATGCGCACTTTCATCTGGTTTGGTCTGCCGCGGTTTCCGTAGACTTGTGAACTCGCAGGCGCGCGCTTTCAGGAAGTCCTATACACTACTGTTTATGCTCTAAAAACATTCTAAATGACTTCGTTTCGAGTAAATTATGGATGCTACCCACTCAGGACACTTGGAATACATTGGACGAGCAGTATGGAGGAATATTGACACGTTTTTTGTGGACTTTTATGGACCTTTCTGCCTCGGGCGCCATAGACCTCCATTATTTGAATGTCAGCAGACAGCAAGAAGCCTCCCAGATCTCCAGATGCATTTGAGATATCAAAAAAGTACTCCAGAGTGTTGCTCAGCATGGGGGTGAGTAGAAAATGAAGGCTAATCATGTTTTGGGTGTACTATTCCTTTAATATTTGTGAAATGGAAAAATTTTAAAGGCATAGGTGGATCTTATTGTCATAAGGTTCAGTTTATTCTCATTTTACTTGACACTTTGAGCAGCTTGTGGTTGATGACCCCTGTGACCTTGCTTAAAAGTTATAAGCAGTTTCCCTCGTGGTGATTTTATCTCATATCCCTTTACTGGCAGCTTTGAAAACATGTGTGAGAATTTCAGAGAAGGATCTGCTTTTTAAGTTTTGTTCCTCTCCTAAGCTTAAAGGAACATTCAAAATGCCTACAGATTTGCTTTGAAAAGATGGAGGCTTTCAATCACTCTGGATCTGCTTTAAGGCAACAAACAGAAGCAGAGTCACAGTAAGCCTGCAGACAAAAGATCCAAGTTCAGCTTTAACCCAAACTGACACAATCCTGATGATAGCTCCGCGCACTTTTCCATCAAACAATCAGACTAAAAGTAGTGGATGTCAAACAGAAAGGGCGAGAATATTGAATTTCTTTTACAGTCACCCTACTGTAGCCAACAGCTAGGAGGCACAGGCTTGTTTAATAGACAGATGAAAGTAAGAGGGAAATTAAAGATGAAAGAGGGGGCAAAGAAGAGAGAAAGAGTATGTTTTTGTAAATGCAAGCATGTGTGATTTTGTGTGTGGCCCATCCGGCCTCCCCACTGACAGGAAGCAGCATCTGAAGAAGATGGATGCAAGAAAACAATACGATGAGTTGGTCATCTTAAACACTACCATGCATGGAAAACTGTGCACACACACACAGCCTGAACACATACAGAAGACCTCTGTGACCAATCAGAATTCTCTCCTGTCATCTTAGAAGAGCAAAGCCAGATTTGGGCTAAAAGTTCTGGAAACAGATGGGTGTCTTTAAGTGTTTACAGTTTGCTTTTGAGTTTCTGTCCAAATAATAGAAACAATTGATATCTCTGATCGGAAAAGCACGTTTAGAATGATGTTATAGCTACATTTTTTATTGTTAAATTATTTAGAATGTCTATGTGTATTTAAAATGCATATGTGTTTTGCAGACATGCGGTTATGGTGTAAAGGATGAAGACTTTTCCTGCGTGCCCTGCCCACAGGGGAAATACTCCAAAGGAAAGTATGAGATCTGCAGGCGCCACAAGGACTGTGATGCTCTTTATAGAGCCATTGTCCGTGTACCAGGAACTGCTGAAAGTGACGCTGAGTGTGGACAATGTTTACCAGGGTAAGGCTTACCGATGACTAAAGCGTTGGTATTAATCTCAATATCCATGTGATAAGTTTATTTTTTGTATGTTAGATAAGAAAAAAAGGGACTATTATGTGCTAGATTTCATGATTAAATGTGTCTTTAAAGGGTCTTGTCACATTATATGCCTTTACAATACTGATCAAAAATGATTTGTTCATGACAGAATAAGGCTATAAAATTTAAATAAAGTTGCTAGTATCGGTATTCATACTCATTAATCCACAAGTTCTGCATGAACAACTAACTTCAGTTCTAACTTCTGCTTCTGAGAACACTAACATTCATGCTGTATTTCTTCCAACAAATTCCTATTCTACCGTAAATGTCTTCAAATTCAGATTTCCTAAACTTTTTAGCGTAATGTCTGTTCAAACTTACACTTAACAGTTGGTGTCGATTTTTTTTTTAAAACTAACCCAAACAAGTATAAAAACATTTATGCGGGGGTTTCACACTAGAAAAAGAAAAAATGAGTCTGAAAAGTGTGGCATGTTTCATATGTTTTTGGCGCCTTTTATGCTGATATAGCAAACATAAAATCTCTTGCAATCAACTTCCCTCACAGGTCATTTTAGTAAAGTACCTTGTGGGTGATAAGCACATCTGTTGCAGGAAGGCCACTGAGTTTATTAGTCATTAGAGACAATTTGTCAATAACAATCAAGGACAATGTTGTGGAGAAGTTTCAAGTTAGAGCTTTGGACATCTCACAGAACACTGCTCAATCCATTATCCCCCAGACAGGAAAGAGTTTGTCACAACGGCATAAATATCCAGATAGGATCGTCGAAGATGACACTATGGGCAGCAATAGCATTAATCACAGATGCCCATGAGGCCTATATTAAATATGGGGCTGTAAAAAGCCAAGAATATAACCAGGCTCCTATGATGGTGATCTGGCTCCATCTAATAATCCTGCTTTTGTTTTATTTGCAGCCTTTACCTTTGCCCAGAATCTGTTGCTTTGAATGAGGTTAACTGTCATTGGGAAGCAAAAGCAAGGAAGATTTAAAAAGAGCCTCATGCATAAACATGACTTGGTAAATCTGACAGACTGAAGCCATATGGATTTTTCCCCTTTAAGTTTTAGTTGAAAATCATCAGATATTTTTCATTATGTGCCAAATGTTTCTGGATGACTTGCTTGGATGATGTCCATCCGCATGGCTTCATCCTTTTCTCCTGCAGAAAATGATTCCCAGGGGAACATAAAAATGTGATTATCAGACTTCAAAGTGGCTTCAGGAAAGAAGCTTGCAACTCCAGTTAAAGGGACTCGGTAAAAAAAAAAAAAAAAAAAAATGGCAGTGGCGCTGCGTCTAAAATATGGTGGTCTGTTAAGTCTTTACATATAATGCATCTCAATATTTGGTTGGTAAATAGTTTAGATTTTGAATTGGTATGGTTACATTTATTTAAATATTCTTTATGGAAAATTTGAGCTTTATCGTTAATGGACAAAAAAATAAAATGCATCTTCCTCCCAAAATGTTTGAGTAAATATAACGATTGGAGGCAGCATGGATGGATGGTTGATGGAAGCAAAATATTTAACATCCATCTATTCTAATTGCAAAGAGTTCAGATCATGCCTGTTCTGAAATTGGCCAAGAATGTTTAATCAAAGTGCTAACTGATTCCTTCTATTTATAGGTTTGACTTGGAAAAAAATATAGATTCAGGATGATAAAAAGTTTATAATAACAACTCTAAGTTATAGTACTCATTAATGAAAAGTTTTTTATTTTTTTTGTATTTTTTTATTTGCCAGCTGCATAACTTTATGATTAAAACAAAACATTTTTTGGGGGGGACAATAAAACTAATGCAACCAAATTCTAACCGCCAAAAAAAATCTAAGTTTATCTTTCAAAATAAAGATAAACATTCTGCATGTAGAAGAAAGTAATAAAGCTGCTTGAAAAAGTAGTAATGATCTTAAAATGTTCCAAATCTATTTTTTTTATTTGGATTTACGTAATAAACCAATTTGCAAAAAAGGGTTTAATTTTTCACTTATCTATATGTATATTTTACAGTAGCTCTATATTCAATGTGCTCTTTTACTGTTTATCATATTAGGTTTAAAAATTTAATCATTTAACAGAACTGTACAAAAATGCGATATAAAGACTTTTGCAAAGGACTGTATACCATTAGTATCTGCAAAGGGTTCTCTCACTTGGTTGGTTCAAATGTTATACACTGTTTAATGCTGGGTGATGACTTTCCATTTGATATATGGTGCATCTGCAGCTAACTCTAGATTACCTGCAGGCTGTGTGCCTGCTGTGTAGGAACTGAGCCGTCCTCTTGCCTTAGAGCGTTAACAGCTCTAATAAGGTCCATCTGTTCAATGCCTCAGCGTCTCTCACCTTTTTTCCTCCTGTACAGCGTGGCCTTTTTATGACTGATGGCATATTTGTACCAAAGAACTGTTTGGTGCCTGCAGGGCATGAATAGTAAAATTTTTCCACCTGAGTTGCTTCTCCATACGTCTGCACTGAGTTCGCTCATGAGGTTGGAAGGTTATAATAGTATATTATAGCATATTATAACAGCATATTTGCACTTTTAAAAACATAACTTTTCTTAATTCTGTCTTTTTCTTTGGTAATAAAAGTTCTTTTTTTTTTTTTTTTTTTTAGAAAAACAAAGAATCAGCCAGACGTTATCAGTTGATGTGGTAAAATTTTTATCTTTTATAGGTATTATATGTTGGTGAACAAACCTAGGAACGCTTATGGGATGGTTTGCCACTCCTGCCAGAATGCACCGAGCAACACAAAAGAATGTAAGATTTACTTTTCTTTCTTTTCCATTTCTTTTGTGTCTATGACAAAAAATTTACCACCATAATCTATCAGGCATTTTTTTTCATATACGTACAATAAATTAAAGAAAAAATACGTCTTCATCCACATCAGAATCTACTGAATATGATGCTCTTTTCCATCATGGAAAGAAAATAAACTGAACAGCTTATGTAAAAGGCAGATGTTCAGCTCCTGGATTGTGGTGGGGGTTGCAATTTTCACTGAGCCACTTAGATCCTGTTGTCACAATTCTATCTTTTGGGTGAGCTTCACCATCAAAGCCCAGAGTTTTTAGACCCACTTCCCTTCTAATTCTGTTGTTTTTCTAGTTCTCCTCATAAGTGTTTTGCAGCTCATTGATAACATCACTGTCACACCAATTATTCAAAATTCCTCTGCACTGTCAGCACATGGATTGATGCATATGTCCATGACTGCAAATCCAGCTCAAACACTGTTGCTGATTTTGAAAGGAAGTTGCACTCACTTGCAAAAAGCTTCCAAGATGGAATTATTTTTCCTTGACTGCTCAACAACTCTTCATTTCCAATGGTAGTTTATGACCATTTTCCACTTACATAACATTTTACCAGTTAATTACACTGCCTTCTGTAGGTTAGATTGTGTCTATAAACGTTTTATTGTAATGTTTGGTAAAATCTTCTCGTTTTTCCACTTATTCATTTATTTTATGAACAGTTGAAAATCATGTTATGATACAAATCCAAATATGAGTTTGATTCATTTGGATTTTGTATCCTAGATAAACAAGTTGTTCTTCAATTGCATGGTGGAAGAAAAGTCAACCTTATAGAAATAAATTCTCATTGGTCCCATGAATGTACACTAAGCAATTGCAGCAGCGGAAATGTTGCACACATAGAGACTGTAATTCCCTGCCCCTCTCTACAAAAAGTAGTTTAAGCAATCTGATGAAGAGCTTTGTTGGTGGCTCCAAAGATATCCTTTAAAGATTGTGAGTTACTTAACTACATTCTTTTTTTCAAAATATCTCTTATTAGCTTGCCAAAGAAAAACATCCCCTCTGCATTATAGTGCCACCACCATGTTTCACAACAAGAGCTCCCATGTTTACATTTTTTAGTCCTCTGCACTACTGGTTGCAAACATAAGACATTCATTCCTGTTGCGTTTTTAATACTATTGTTTTTTTTTCCCCCTCATCTGTCTTTCAACAAAAGAAAGAATTAAAGAATCCATAATAAACAGCTCTGCAACCAGCTTCCCTAAAGAAATAACTGTTCTCTTGGCTGCTTTTATGATAAGATAAAATTATACACATTAAAACATGCTTTCTTAATTAAATAAATACTGAGGACATATAAATGGATTAATTTAAGGGCATTGGAAAAATAATCTATATTTTAAAGTTGCTTAAAAGCACATTTCATTTCTACTTTGATTATCTGTAGTTTAAATTCCTTTTTTCAAGGAAAGTCAGAGTACAATACATTAAAGTTTTTGATTACAAATGGGTGAGCATTTCAAAACTTCTTCTGCTGAGTAAGATTGTTTCCAATGAGAAAAAGTATTCGGTAGTTGCATTATTCTTCTCCCCTCCCTGTCTGTTATCCTGTTTACACGTATGCAAAATCCAAATTAATCATGTGTTTAAGCAGCACATTTTTTTGATGTTTGCTTTTTTTTTTTTCAAATTGTTTTGGCAATTATATTTATGGACTTGCAATTGCTCAAAATCCCCCCAAAGTGTAACTAAAGAATCCGGAAATTACTGTGTTGTTATTGTGTCATATTTAATTAGTGTGTTTTGAAAGATGTAGACCCCAAAAAGTGGCCTGAGCCTGCAGAGAAGGAGGGTTTGAAGCAGCAGCAGCAGAGCTGAGGGACAAATGAATAATGTCTATAAATATTATTTCAATCACACACCAGCTGCGTGTAAATTTATGAGGCAGATAAGCCAAAGTTACAGAGTTCAGTATTTCATTAAATGATATAAGTAAGGCTTTAACTATTTCTTGCTGAAATAAAAAAAACAGTTTTCTTCCAAAGTAAAATCCTCTTAACAGAAGTCATAGACAGTTTCCCTAAAAAGAGAATACAGAAATGTCTGAGATCTGAGTTTTATTTTCTTTGGGTGATGGCAGGCTGACACTTGCCATGTAATCTGCAAATTACCCTGGCTCCTACCTAGGATTGCTTGTGTACTAATTAAAATTGGGTGGTTATGAGGAAGACGGATGATTAGCGTGTTTGTGCTTGCCGTAATGCTACTCTTTGGCAGGTTGTGATATAAAGCTGTAGGCACAGCTCGTTTTCCTCGTTTTCCTTCTGATTTCTATAAGCTTTCAACATCCGAATCTGTAGCTTAATGCACATAAATGAGGCATACGTTTCAAACAGAGAGGCTTATCCCAAGTGGGGTCACGAGGGGTGCAGGTGCCTATCTCCAGCTGTCTACGGGTGAGAGGCGGGGTAATCCCTGGACAGGTCGCCAGTCCATCGCAGCAAACAGAGACTCATTACACAAATTTAACTAATGTTTTGTTTTTACTAGCTGAAAAACTCAGAAACTCTTAACTTTAACATTAAAGCAGCACTATACATTAATTACAGGAATTAAATGACAGAGATGTAACTCATTATACAAGAGTATGTTTTTTTTATTATAATCTACACACAAAGTCTCAATCTTTTTGTTTTGTTTCCTTATAAATTGTCATTTATTATATAAGTTGCGCATTTATGGAGGCAGACTTCTTTGCGCTATGGCAGCGCAGAGCTGACAAACTAGTAACTGTAGAGATCACCATTAGGCTCAAATGGGACTACAGCAATTAGGCTTATATAAAATCTATATATTTATAATGATAAAATACTTTTTATAAAATTATATATGCAAACAAACCTTGCCATCATGTGAAAAAAAAGGTGATGCAGTGCAAGTCATTTTGTACCATGACAGCCTCCCATTGTTGGAGGGGCAGAATAGATGTCAGAAGCGGTTCATGTTGCAGCAGTCTGACCATTAGATGTCTCTGAAAATCCCACACTGGAGCTTTCAGGTAATGCAAAGCCTAAAGCTCATCTTTGAGTTCATATAAAAGGTTTAATGGTGATTCTACACGGAAGTCACCATTGGTGACCGAAAAAAAAAACTAGGTCATGACAACACTTTATATTAGAGTGTTTTGCAGCAGTTGTGCAAAATAAACCTCATTATTAGTTTTTGTTTAACTTGTGAAGATAAAACTGCGTTATGTTGACGTAGCTGTCAAACCGTTACATCAAGGACACCATGTGTTGCACCACTCAAACTCTATCAATCCATCTGCAGTCACTTTTCCAATAACAACATGCTGTTTGACCCTAAAAAGTCACTCCAAAGTAATGCTGCACACATGTGGCAGATGGAAAGGAAGTTTTCAGCTTAGGGGAAATGTTCTCTCTATATTGCTGCAAAAACAAATTAGTTTGGCTAAGCATCCAGTCAAAACCCTGGTAAAAGAAACCTGATCAACTCTATGCTCCAAAAACAACTCCTTTGGTCGTCTCATTGTTCTGTCTGATCACTCCTTGATTAAGCGATTGGTTTTAACCATGGCGTAAACTAAGCCGTGTGCTTAAGCCTCAGCCAAGAATTTAGTTGTTAAATGGTCCTGGGGCAAAACCTGTTTCCAATGGACAGACTGTCTTTAGTCAGAGTTCAGAAATGCAACATGGCACAGAGCCTTGCCATGTTTCCTGAGTAGATATTTGTTTGAAAAGTCCTTAGTACATCCCTTTTCAGTCTCACCAATAAGTGGCCACACTTTCATTTGACATATTTACATCCTGAATTTAAAAGAATCTTAAAGACTGGGGTGGTTTTGAAAGACTATGAAGAAGAGGTGGGCTTGAAAATGGCCTTAAAGTAAAGAGAAAGAAAGAAAAAAAAAATTGGCCTGTATGATATATAAAGTGCCCTGCGATGGACTGGCGACCTGTCCAGGGTGTACCCCGCCTCTCGCCCATTGACAGCTGGAGATACGCACCTGCACCCCTCGTGACCCCAATTGGGACAAGCATGTCAGATGATGATGGATGGATATATAAAGTAAGGCCGTTCCATAATTTTGACTTGCAAAATCAAAACCACGGACCACTCCAAGCATTTAGGAGCAGCGAATCAGCTGATATGAAGTTGAGGTAGAGTATGTAGGGTTGCAGTAACTTCGGCAGCTCGGCCATTAATACATTTAACAGCAAATTAAACTATTTCAAAATGAAACCCTAAAGTTTATTGGCAGCCAGTGTAGGGATTCTTACAATAAAGGTGTTTGAACCAGTTAAAGGATATGAAGCATCACTCTGTACCTTCTGAAGCTGTGATACACAGGAACCCCTAATTTCCTCACCAAGTGGTTTACAGTATTCATACTCAATGGTAATAAAGGCATTAAACTGGAACCACTGCTCTGGTTTTATTTTCAGACTTATATGTAGTATTCTCTTTCACCTCCTACATTTGATATAGTTGTCTTCATGTTCAGGGCCTGGTGACATTTGGCACTTCCATAAACCAACCTCTCAGTCTTTTTTATCATTGAACTAAAATAGATTCAGATCCTTCCATGCTTTTTATGTCATCTATACATCAAAGTAGCAGACTCAGATGGTGAAAGTTTGTTTTTTATGGCAGGGCATACAGCTGGGTATTATCCAAGAACAATGAAAGGAGATCCTGTATCTTCTGAAAAATCCAGGCGAGAGAAGCAAGTAAAGCGTGAATATCATGTCTTGCGTGGGATCTTACCTTAAAACGTCAGCTTTAGAAAGTGATACCTCAAGACAGAGCTACAACATACGGAAGTTAGTTCTATCTTTGAAGGCTTTGATTTATTCAAATTTCATATTTTTAAAACTTCTTTTTAAAAAGTCTCAGGTTTTCTGGCTCTAAATAGTATATTTCCTTTAACTTTTTTTTTTTACTATTTTCTTCAGTCCTACTGAGTTGCTT